TGGTCCACTGGTGCGTACCAGCAGTAGGTGCTGTCACATTATAGCCTCTCCCTCGTGGTTCTGGCACTCAGTTAGTGAGTCAGAGCAGAGGCTCAGAGATTCTCAGCCTGCACTCTGACAACATTGAAAGTCAGAGCCGTGAAGGAGCAGGTATGGCAAAGAGCTAATGATTAGCATAACATCAATATCCGTTATAAAACCAGGAAAAGGTGGGCATGGATGGTGAACTGATTTGGTGGTGCAATGGGCCACTTGACTGGTTTTGCCCCCCAGGTATAAGGTTGCCAGCCCTCCCACTTACAGACTCCAGGAACCATGACCACTTCAAATCACTGAATTGTTCATGGTATTTGGAGTAACCCTTAAAGGAATATGGTGTGCATTTTATAGGGTTAAATGTATATCAGTTAGTGCCAATAACATGTTGTGTCCTGAAAAATATGGTAGATCTGGCAACCGTACTCCTATCCCAAAAAACACATGCGAAACACATCAAATAGATTAGTCCCATGCCTTTAACTATGACTTTATTTTAATGCTTACATTTTATATAAGAAGATAATTGTTTTAACCTGCTACATTGAACTTGTATTTTAATATTCTATATTGGGATGGGAATGCTGTTATACTTCATAAACTTTAGTGAATTTTAGTGTAAGGTGTTTTATAATGAGATTAGAAAAGTGTGTAGCTCCCAAGATCATGGTAAAAGTAAAAAACTTAAATGATCATGTTCAGCAACCTTGTTATTTTGTTTTCACTCTTTCTGCTCAGTCCAAAAGGTAATAATCTGTGCTATACTATCCCTTTAAGCTGAGTGTGAACTGTATAGCAGTTAAGACATAATCGTAAATCCCAAGTTGTTCTTCTAACACTCCTAAATTCTAAGTCTAAAATTCTGGTTGATAGTGTAACAGCCCTTTAAAGTTTAGGGTGCAATCAGGAAGGGCCAAAATGCCGACCCCCAAACTGTTGTAGAACTACCATGTGGCTAGCAAAATATCTTCAGGGTTGCAGTCACACACTAACTGTGGCTCTATGTTGGCCACTCTTGCTCTAGAGGACATCTGAGTTTCCTTTACATAAATATTCATGGCTTATCTTGTTGCCTGTTCGGTGAGCCAACTTTGCAGCTTCTAACTCATGAACAAACAGGATTATTATTTCATAGCAAACAGCAAATCCACAACACGGAGTGAAAATGATATATCAGTGTGAGAGAGGGCATAAGAGTGGGTGAAATAGACCAGTGTAGCAAGCCCAGGTCCAATCAGTCAGATATAAAGAGAACACCGAGCTCTCGACGCAGCTGAAAAAAAGATTTATAATGTCCATATATTTTTGTTCTGGAGTGTCTCTCTATACTGGCCAAATATCTCATTTCAGGTGTACCCATCCATACCATGCAAATGTCCCTCTTCAGGTGTACCCATCCACACCATGCAAATATCCCTCTTCAGGTGTATCAGCTCATACTATCCAATTGTCCTTCTTCAGAAAAGTCATTATATATCTTCTTATTGTCACTTTTCGGAAGTGTCTCTCCATAGCAGTCAACTATGCCTCTTTAAGAGTTTCCTTTGCAGGAGTGTCCCTCCATTAACCCCTTAAGGACCAAACTTCTGGAATAAAAGGGAATCATGACATGTCACACATGTCATGTGTCCTTAAGGGGTTCAAATCAAATATCGCTCATGTCTAGAGAGGTATTAGCTACACCTCGCTGGCAAAGAATGCTAAAACAATTGTCTGGGGTTTCTGTATCTCTTGTGCCGAAAGGACATTTTGATTCCGGACTGCCCTTATGGGGGGGATCAGTCTGATATGTAAATGGTATAGGTTCTCTCTGTAATGGCACAAGTGAGCAGAAACGTTTTTGAGACCTTAGTGGGGACAATCTGAAGGGCAAACTACTGAGTTTCTCTAAGCTTTTGGAAAAAATTTTTATTGAAAACCCCTTCCACCTCATCCTGATGATTAGCTTTAACAATGAAACAGCTGTCCATGAGTGGTTCACTGGCTTTGCATCTTTTCCTAAGTTGTGTTTCAAAGCTGTTGTATACAGCAAACACAGACTCTATATAAAGATAGCCAGGTTTGGTAACATCATGCCACAACACTACTGTTATAATAAGGTGTTATACTGTTATACTATCATGGCTGGTTACGATCAGTGATATCAAAGTCACCCTATAAATGCTGCTCAATCACTTCTTTGAAAACAATAGAATTTCTATTTGACCTGTTGGGATTTTAAAAATATCAGTGGTGAAGTAAAAATTTAAATAGTAAAAATAAATAAAGAGAATTTATTTAATACAAACCTATAGAAAAAAAAATTCTTTAGCCAGTAAAACATCTGTAACTATGTCACCTGACCATCAGCAGACACAGGAGGAGGTAAATAAAAGTGCTTGTTAAATGCAACATACATACATGTGGAGTGTGACGAGGAAAAGGTGGAGGCTTTATGGGTAGATATCTGCTTGGGGAAAACAAAGGGAAATCAATTATTGGTTGGGATATGTTATAAACCACCTAATGTAAATATTATTGAGGAAGAACAGCTGTTAGAGCAAATTGAGAAAGCTGCAAATCGAGGTAACATGTTAATTATTGGAGATTTTAATTATCCAGACATAAATTGGGAAAGAGGGACTAGTACTTCAGCAAGGGGAATCAGGTTTTTGAATGTGTTAAATGACACCTTTATGTCACAACTGGTACAAGCACCAACTAGACAGGATGCTTGTCTGGATCTTGTCATAACAAACAATGTTGATCTTTTAACCAACATTCAAGTAGGGGAGCATTTGGGAAATAGTGATCACAATATGGTAAATTTTGAAATAAACTCAAAAAAGCAAAAGCAGGTGGGGTATACTAAAACATATAATTTTAAAAAAGCCAATTTCAATAAGATTAGGGCAGCTCTACAACATATCGACTGGCATAAACTCCTTAGTGATAAAAACACTGAGGATAAATGGAAACTGTTCAAACATATATTAGAAAGGTACATTTCTCAGTATGTACCATTGGGTAATAAATATAAAAGAAACAAATTAAAACCAATGTGGCTTAGTAGAGAAGTAAAACAAGAGATTAAAAATAAGAAAAGGGCATTTAAAGCATTTAAATCAGACAAATCAAAGGCATCCTATTTAAGATATAAGGAAGCCAATAACACTTGCAAAAAGGCAATTAAAGTGGCTAAACTAGAAAATGAGAAATTGATAGCTAAAGAATGCAAAACCAACCCCAAAAATTTTTTCAAGTACATCAATTCTAAAAAAACAAAAAATGAAAGTGTAGGTACACTTGAAACAGAGTTGGGTTTATTAGCTAATGAAGACCAGGAAAAAGCAGAAATTTTAAATAACTATTTTTCTTCAGTATATATTAATGAGGATCCTATGGCAAGAGATATGCAAATGTTTGCTGCAAAAAACTTGCAAATAACTTGTGACTGGATAACTCGAGACAAGGTGCTACAGCTATTAAAGAAAATTAATGTAAATAAAGCTCCGGGGCCTGACTGTATTCACCCACGAGTACTTAAGGAGCTAAGTGGGGAAATAAGTGAACCTCTGTATTTAATTTTTCAAGATTCTTTTGTTTCAGGTGTTGTACCGGAGGATTGGAGGAAGGCAGATGTTGTTCCTATATTTAAAAAGGGTTCAAAATCCTTGCCTGGAAATTATAGACCTGTGAGCTTAACTTCAGTAACTGGGAAAATATTTGAAGGGCTATTAAGGGATAATATTCAGGAATTCATTGGGAAGAACTTTGTTATTAGCAATAATCAGCATGGTTTTATGAAACATAGGTCATGTCAAACTAACCTAATTGCATTCTACGAAGAAGTAAGTAGAATTATAGATCAGGGTGTTGCAGTGGATGTGATCTACTTGGACTTTGCCAAGGCATTTGATACGGTTCCTCACAATAGGTTAGTTTTCAAACTAAAAGAAATTGGTCTAGATGAATATTCCTGTTCTTGGGTAGAACATTGGCTTAAGGACAGAGTACAACGAGTTGTCATTAATGGTAAATTTTCAGGCTGGACAAAAGTGGTAAGTGGTGTCCCTCAGGGTTCTGTTTTGGGACCACTTCTATTTAACATATTTATAAATGATCTTGAAATAGGCATTGAAAGCCATGTATCAGTGTTTGCAGATGACACAAAACTTTGTAAAGTAATAAAATGTGAGCAGGATATTGCTTTGTTGCAGAGAGATTTGGATAGATTGGGGGACTGGGCACTAAAATGGCAGATGAAATTTAACATAGAGAAATGCAAAGTTATGCACTTCGGGGTTAAGAATGCACAAGCAACTTACACACTAAATGGTAGTGAATTAGGGATAACCACACACGAGAAGGATTTGGGAATTGTTATAGACAACAAATTAGGCAGCAATATGCAATGTCAATCTGCAGTTGCTAAGGCCAGTAAGATTTTGTCATGTATAAATAGGGGCATAAATTCTCGGGATGAAAATATAATTTTGCCTCTTTATAAATCGCTGGTAAGACCACACCTTGAATATGCTGTGCAATTTTGGGCGCCTGTTCTAAAGAAGGATATCATGGCACTGGAGAGGGTCCAGAGACGAGCTACAAAATTGATAAAAGGAATGGAGCATTTTAGTTATGAAGAAAGGTTACAAAAATTAAATCTGTTTCGTTTGGAAAAACGGCGCCTGAGAGGGGATATGATAACTTTATACAAATATATTCGGGGCCAGTACAAACCTTTATCTGGAAATCTATTCATAAACAGGGTTATACATAGGACACGAGGTCACACATTTAGGCTGGAAGAAAGGAGATTTCATCTAAGGCAAAGAAAAGGTTTTTTTACAGTAAGAACAATAAGGATATGGAATTCTCTGCCTGAAGAGGTGGTTTTGTCAGAGTCCATACAGATGTTTAAACTGAAATTGGATAAATACTTACAAAAACATAACATACAGGGATATAATTTCTAATTAGTGGGGTAATAGCTGATTGATCCAAGGAGACATCTGACTGCTATTTTGGGGTCAAGAAGGAATTTTTTTCTAGTTTGTGGCAAAATTGGAAGTGCTTCAGACCAGGTTTTTTGCCTTCTTTTGGATCAACAGCAACAACATTTCTGAGGAAGGCTGAACTTGATGGACGCAAGTCTCTTTTCAGCTATGTAACTATGTAACTATGTAACTATGTAACATAGCAGGTAGCACGTCTTAGGGATAATTAGCCACACTTTACCTTGATTTTGGTACCCATTGACATCCTCCGGTCTTCATTATGCAAATGCCTCCTGTGGTGGCTGCTCAGCTCAGGGTATAATGTTCTTCCCCAAAACTCTTAGATATAGTTAAAATGTAGATCGTTACTATCCTATCATTGAGTATGTCCTGTGTGTGGACATACAGTCTCTGGTAATATAATCCTAAAACGGGCTTTAGGTCCAGACTGTCACAATACCTATCCCTCGCGGTGTAATGTTTCTTCTGTCTTCTGATGCACACTCACTCATCCCTAGCTTCCTGATTTCTTGTTATGACATCATATTTGACATGGAATCCTTCCATTGGTCTCCTTTTATAATGTCAGCCTTTGTGACACTTGTCACTTTTTGATGAGGTATACACACTTGTGACATCATGGCCATCTGTAACCAATCAGAACCCAGTACAGAGTATATATACTTCCTGGCTGTCTTTGTTTCCTTGCCCTGTTGTAGTTTCTGTTTACCAGAATGTGTGTTATTATTCCATTTTGGGAGATTGACTTGTTTGAACATTCTTGACCTCTGTAATCCCTGACCTCGACTTGTTTCTTAGTTCTGTGTAATCCCTGACCTCGACTTGTTTATTAGTTCTGTGTAATCCCTGACCTCGGCTTGTTTCTTAGTTCTGTGTAATCCCTGACCTCAGCTTGTTTCTTAGTTCTGTGTAATCCCTGACCTCGACTTGTTTATTATTTCTGTGTAATCCCTGACCTCGACTTGTTTATTAGTTCTGTGTAATCCCTGACCTCGACTTGTTTATTATTTCTGTGTAATCCCTGACCTCGACTTGTTTCTTAGTTCTGTGTAATCCCTGACCTCGACTTGTTTATTAGTTCTGTGTAATCCCTGACCTCGACTTGTTTATTAGTTCTGTGTAATCCCTGACCTCGACTTGTTTATTAGTTCTGTGTAATCACTGACCTTGGCATGTTTCTTAGTTCTGTGTAATCCCTGACCTCGACTTGTTTATTAGTTCTGTGTAATCCCTGACCTCGACTTGTTTATTAGTTCTGTGAAATCCCTGACCTCGACTTGTTTCTTAGTTCTGTGTAATCACTGACCTCGGCTTGTTTATTAGTTCTGTGTAATCCCTGACCTCGGCTTGTTTCTTATTTCTGTTTACCTCTGTAATCCCTGACCTCGACTTGCTTCTTAGTTCTGTGTACCTCTGTAATCCCTGACCTCAACTTGTTTCTTAGTTTTTTGTACCTCTGTAATCCCTGACCTCGGCTTGTTAACATTTATTCCGTGTCTGCTTGCAGACTTTCTGATTATAATCTCAGTGCTAGCCTGGCCACTTTAAGAACTGGCACGCACACCATCCTTCCATATACCTAAGTTTGTGTGTTAGGTTCAGGCCAAACCTGACACAGATGTTGTATGCTGTGAAATTAAATATGTTTATAATTTGAGTTCTACCTTTGTTTTTGGCTCTCATCTCCACTTTCTGTTAGGGAGTGTTATACTTGTACAAACGTGCATTTCTCTACAATTCAATAAGTAGATATATATACTTATCTCAGATAATCTATCCTCTGTATCTGAGGCTGGGATGGCCACCGTTGCATCCCTAAATGGTTGGCTCACTGTAAGGCTCCTTGGAACGTGAGCTCATGAAACAGACCAAATACTCCACAGTAGAGTAGAAGGCCTTTTAACATAGTAGTGGCCAATGGTAAATTCACAGCTGTTGTAGAACTACATTGTGACAGGGCTCCAGTACACCAGTTGAGTATCTCCATCAAATGTTCCCTCTGGCTGGAGAATACAGCTCTGAAGTGAATACAGCCCTTTCCCAAACACCAGACAACACTTGATGAAGGATAAAACACACACACCTTTATTGGGACAACAGACGGTTATCAACTGGGACAATAGGTTCCCTCCCTCCCTGGCCCCGCTGTGTCTGGGGGGATAACTTGATTTACTGGGACTGATTTTATTAATCTCCAAGGATATCTTACAGTAGTGACTTTCAAAATATAACTTTCCCCAATAATAGTTCAACAAATTACACATCCCCGGAGAGGGCTATTCATTACAGAATAAATACCTTGTATTTGCAATTTGGAGAGGCAAAGATTGGTGGAAATCTTTGATTTGAACCATCCGAGAAAATTCCATATAACACAATCCATTTTATATTTATCAATTCACAGCTGCCAGTCCTAATACAAAACTTTACAGGGTTTCAGTTAGATCTGTTCTAGAGGGAGGCACGTTGGATAAATAAATGTACTTGCTTTTGCAGGCGAATGTGCAGAAAACTGTAATATTTTCCAGTGGCAGTGCTAGCAGACGTGAGGCAAATAGTTAAAAGTAAAATTAAATGAATACTATAAAACAAACTGGTGTCCCCAAGATCTCATATTAACCAGAAGGGACATAGGAGATGGGGTTCATCCTGTTCTTTCAGACCATTGGCAGTGGGAGAGTTAATAACGGAGTGCGTGACCAACTATTTTGTTACTAATTGTCTCACAGCTATTTAAAATTTGTATTTGATTGCACTCCTCTATGGTGATAGTCCCTTCTTATATGGGCTATAGGGAATAACCATTAAAACCGGTACTGTTTACAGCTTGCTTTCATCTGTGCCACACCAAATCTGGCTAAAAAGTTCCTGTATTGAAATGGACAGGTGTCAATCATTTGGTTCAGAATTATAACAGTTGACTTAGATGACAACTGCCTTAAAGCAAATTCAGAACAACTGGATTTCTGTCGTTTGGTTGCATATTTTCACCTCCCAGTTCCCAAAATTCAATAGTACGTATCTATATTTCAAGTGTTCAGTAGTTTATGGTGGGACTACAATTCGGAGTACATTCACATTTGTTTGGAAGCTGTCCAACTAGATTCAAAGACTAATAAATCTTGTAAATGATATCAATATATTTTCCTCCAACTACCCATAGTTTGTCTCGGATTATTTATTCTATCCTGGCTAGACTCAGTATGTACATTAGTGAACAACTTCAAGAGTTGTCTACAAAGTAAAAAGCTGCTGTTGGGAAAATAAATTTATGGTGACTGTAAGCAATGGCTTATAGAGAACCCCACTCAAGGAGAAAACATCATGCAAATGTACAGAGCATGTTCCAATCAATGCCAATACAGTATGCTAATGTATCTAGCTCAGCACAACTCGTCGCCTCTCGTAAATAATTGATAATAAAATTCATGATTAAGTGTGAAGAGGGATTTGGAGAGGTGTGAAGTGAGCACAGGAATGTGAAATGGGCAGTGGGGTCTGATATGGACAAGGATGCCTGAAGAAGGCAGAGAGACTTTTGAAGTGGGTGGATGGATCTGGAGGAATCTGAATTGATAGAGTAATATAAAGTTTGTAAAGGTGTTTGAGGTGTCCTGATGGTTCCGAAGCAGGCAGAGTGGTCTAATATGCACAAAATATACTGCTTTGACCTAACTACAACTATGCAGAACGTTGCTTTAACGCAAGAGCCAGACTGCCCATGAAGCGGCATAGAGGGGTACCTGGGGTCCCATCTCAAACAGGGGTATGGTGGGCCCCTGTCTAGGCCTGGAGCTCAATCACTGGCTGTGAGGAGGCCCTCTTTGAGTGGGCAGAGAGATAAAAAGATATCTCTGCTCAGCCCTAAAACCGCTCACCTGATCAAAGAAGCTTTGTGGTCTGCGACCTCTATCGGGTGCAGATCACATTAAGAGCTAACTCACAGTCTCTCTGCGCTACTCAGAGACTTAGAGCACCATAACCAGCACGCTGAGAAATTTACTGAGTTCCTGACCATGAGGAAGCTTTTAAACTGAATGCAACAGTTTTGGTGCAGACCATAACACTTGCCCACCAGACCACCATGTAAGGCTCTCCACTGTTCCACCAAGGAATTATACCCCTTCCTGCCAAAAAGCAAGCCGAAAGGGGCAAAAAAAATCCTACCACATACTCATATATTACACAGACAATACCCTGCCATCACAAAACTTAGACTAACCCACAAACAATATTCAGCCACCACACACAGCTCTCAGCTCTATAGATACACTCAGTCACTACATACACACACACATACAACACTAAGTCTCCCACACACACATACAACATTTATCCACCACACACAACTCTCACAGAGCAGAGCCTAAGGCTCTAGGAGATGTCCCCAATCTAGCATCCTGCCTAGGGCTCTGGGAAGGCTTAATCCAGATCTGTCTGGTATGTCTTTGTTGGGACAGTGGAAATTTCTTCAGAGAATGAGTATCCAGAGGGATCTCCAGCCAATTGTGAGTTTAATAGCTAGTACCAATGAAAGATTCAAAGAGTTGCTCGAAGGAAGAAAAACTCATTGTTGTGGTGCCTTGATGTGAAGTGAGAAAAGTATTTACAAAGAAGCCTAAGTGTGATACAGCTGAGATAACAAACCAGCGCAAGCAGAAACAGGCAGGTCAACCAGCATGATCACTGTCAAAGTGTACATCCCAAGAAGAGGAGTCAGTGAAGTCATCTTAAAGAGTCATATATAATAAGAGTAATTTTATAACATGACAGGAGGCTTCGTATTTGCATTAACTTTCTTTACTAACTCCATAGCAGCAAAGAAAAACTGTTAAAAGAAAGAACCAATCAGAGCGAGTCAGAGAGTATATAAGTCCAAGCATAACCAATCATTTCCTCTTTCTTTGCTGCTCCATCACAAGTTAGGTCAGAGTACTGATTTCTTAACTGTATTTGTTATGCATGTTAGGATCTTATGCTAGATTTTTTGAATGTAAGGATTTATTGTACTTAAAGGACCACTATAGTGCCAGGAAAACATACTCGTTTTCTTGGCACTATAGTGCCCTGAGGGTGCCCCCACCCTCAGGGACCCCCTCCCGCCCGGCTCTGGAAGGGGGAAAGGGGTAAAAACTTACCTTTTTCCAGCGCTGGGCGGGGAGCTCTCTGCCTCCGATCCTCCTCCTCTCCTCCCCGTCGGCTGCGTGCGCATTCAGCCGGTCGCATAGGAAAGCATTATCAATCAATGAGACAGCCACTAGAGGCTTTGGGGGAGGCTTAACCCATTCATAAACATAGCAGTTTCTCTGAAACTGCTATGTTTATAAAAGAATGGGTTAACCCTTGCTGGACCTGGCACCCAGACCACTTCATTAAGCTGAAGTGGTCTGGGTGCCTAGAGTGGTCCTTTAATGTCTATTTACTGGGGGTGGTAGGGGATTCCTTACTTGTTTAGTCACCTTGAGCGACTGCCGTTGGAGGGGCTAACCCCTTTTCCCCACCCCTTCTCCTTAGTTTCCGATCTCCTGGGTGAGCCCCAGTGTTAAAGAGTCTGATTTCACGCCACCAAACGATACATATTAATACGGCCAATGGCCTGTTCAGGTTCCTCCCACACGGTCCCTCACCTCTTGTACCTATGCCTGTGCCTGTAAAATAGTGCCCGAGCTATGGAGGACACAATTAATACAAGTGACCTTCAGGCCATGATTAATGCAGCGGTGGCTGCGTCCTTAGAAAGAGCAATGGTGAAGGTAATACCAACAGCCACTGACATTATCAAACCGACTGGCAAACAACGCCAAAATAAGGAAGACTCGGATGAGTTGGATGAGTCCTCTAAGGAGAAAAATCGCCTGGCAAAACGCCACTGGAAGGGCGAAGGGTCCAAAAAGGCCGCCACCCCCACAAGTTCAACATCACCAAGAGGAATAGGGCTAAGATAGCAAATACAAGCGCTATACCGGGCCCACTAACACCGGGGACACACAAACACTCACAAGAAAACACCCAAGTACACGCAAAGCTAGACGGACAGTGCACACATAATAGACATAGCACAGGCTAAAGCCTTAGAACAAGAATTAGGCCAGTAACTAAGCACACAGGAAGAGACATGAGACCCAAGCAAAACTAGAGATAATCATAGACAAGCAAAACACACAGCGGCCAAAGCAAGTAAAGACAACAACTAGCCTACGAGAGCCACGAAGATCTCAAAAACCTAAGGACGCTAAGTCGAACAGAGCGCAGCCACACACAATGGCTTCAATTACACTAGGCAATACATACGTACAGTAACCAAACACCAAACACATACACAACAGACAAATAAGTTTTGACAAGGTTGCAAACCCAAATGCTGATACCATAAGATCTGTTTATTAAGTAATATGACAAGTTTTATTGTACAGTCGTGATCTGCATGTACAAAATGTAATACCACAAAACCAAAATAAAGATTGTCAAAAAGGCCGCCACCAAAGGCAAAGCGCCACTGAAGCGCAGTAAGCGCGCTATGACGACGTCTCCTATATATACGGGGGAGATATCCTCGGATGAGGAAAAAGATATGCCCCACTCCCTCTCCATCTTGGATGAGTGGCAGGCAGAGGCCTCCGACTCTGACAAAGGCGATTGGGGCTCCAACGCCTACGTAAAGGAGACATTCCTGGGTGATCCCCAGTGTAATGGAGAGGCGGAATCCTCCACCACAGCCACCACGCAGGAACAAGAAATATTCCTGAACGCCACGGGGCAGAGAATGTTTGTTCCCAGGAACATTCGGCACCCCTGCTCAGGGGAAAGATGAGGGCGGAGTGCCCCAGACCATCACTGCCAGACAAGGTGGCCTTTACGCCAGAGTTCAACCAGCTCATGTTGATGGTAATGGAACAAGGAGGTCGCGATCCGCGCAGAGGGATTGAAAAGAGTTTTAAAGGAGTGCAAGACAAGCTCCTGGACATGATGGGGGCACTGGCCCGAGTGATGTACCTGGCGGACGAGGCCTACGCCAGAGCGGACTCGTTTACAGCGGACATGGTGCGCGAACGGGCACATGATATTCGAGAATGGACCCAGAGGGGTTTCTGTTTTCTCGGAAAAATACCAATGCGGCCCTCTCAGCAGAGCGGCACGTGCAGCACTTTTCCGCATAGACCCCAAACTGGCTGATCTGGGGGTAAAAGAACTGGGCCCACAGGGCAAACTCTTCGGCGAGGCCTTTATGAAAGAGCTGAATAAACATGTCAATGTATTTACCTTGCTGAACAGAGCCCGCACATCCATGCGCAAAGTCTTCCGAGGCAACCCCTAAAGGGGTGTTGTTTTCAGGGCTGGTTGGCAGCGGGGCCGTGCCACCAGCCGATTCTGGCCATCAGGCTCTCGCATGGGACACCCACAGCAATTCTTCCTGCAACAAGGTTATCAGGACAACAGCTCTAGACAACACTACCCGTACTACCAAAGGGGCATAGACAGAGGACGTGGTGGTCGCGGACATGCCCGCGCAAGATTCCCTGCAGGTAAGAGACCAACACTTATCAATGCCTTAAATAACCTTGATTGCAGGCCGTGTTTCTCCTTTTCCCAGAATTGGGCAAAACTGTCCACAGATGCTTGGGTACTACAGACGGTCAAGGGGTACCACATCAAATTACGAATGCCCCCCGTACAAAGGCATCCTCCTCGTCCTTTACACCTCTCAACCTCGGATGCTCACCTCATAGAAGTGGAGCTCTGCGAACTACACACAAAGGGCGCTATACAACCCATTCACGAACGAGGAGGCTTCTTCAGCAATATGTTCCTCGTCTGCAAGAAAACCATGAATTTCAGGCCAGTGATCAATTTAAGGGAACTGAACGCCATGTGACATATCGTCACTTCAAAATGGAGGGCATACACTTACTGAGGGATCTCCTTCAGGAAAAGGATTGGTCTACGCGTCTAGACCTCAAAGACGCATACCTATTAATCCCAATCCACAAGGACAGCCGTCACTTCCTTTGGTTCCTATGGAACGGCTTCCCATGGCAATTCACGTGCCTCCCTTTCGGGCTGAGTGCTTCACGAAAATGTTGAAACCAGTGGTCACACACCTCAGGACTCACGGGATCAGATGCATCATTTACATGGACGACATTCTCTTATTCTGCAGAACGAGGGAACTGGCTGTATAACATACAGAATATACGGTACAATTGTTAGAATCCCTGGGCTTCATCGTCAACAGGGCCAAATTCGCAATGAACCCCGTACAAAAAATCCAATTCCTGGGCTTCGAGATACACTCCACCTCCCATCTACCAAAGTGACGGCCATCAAGAAGGAGATCCGCAGAGTACTCAAACTAGACTCCATCCCACTCCGCCAACTGGCACGGATCATTGGCCTACTATCCTCATCAATACAAGCTATATTTCCGGGTCCTCTGCATTACCGTGCCATGCAACTGTTGAAAGCTCACTTCTGGCAGCGAAACCCCACGTACAACCAACCAGTCCCGCTGACGGACGAAGTACGACAAAAACTCGAATGGTGGCTCAACTGTATGCAAGCCTGAAATGGTCGGGCCATCTTCGGCAACCACTTGGACTTCGTCCTGGAATCAGACGCGAGTCGACTGGGATGGGGCGCCACGGATGGAGAAGCATCCACGGGAAGAACATGGACAACCCAAGAACTCTCGATGCACATCAACTGCCTGGAGTTACTAGCGGGGTCATTTGCTATACGCAGCCTAGCGAAAGGACAGTACAACTGTTGTATACTTCTACGGATGGACAACGTATCGGCAGTACAATACATCAATCACTTGGGAGGTACCCAATCACAAACACTGGTGAATTTGACTAAGGAAATCTTTGATTACTGCCTCCCGTGCAACATCACCTTACGCGCAGAACACCTACCAGAGGAGTCGAATCTTACAGCAGATTGGTACTCCCGACACTGGAGAGACGCCAGCAACTGGCAATTGAACCCGCAGGTATTCGCCTACCTAAAAGAACAGAAAGGCCCCATTCTACTGGATCTGTTTGCTTCACCACAGCTTTACAGCTGGCTCCCAGACCCGGAATGCCTGGCGGTAGACGCTTTCACCCAACACTGGCCAACACAAGGGACTCATGCCTTTCCCCCATTCGCCACGATCGCAAGGGTTCTCCACCACATCCGGAGACGAGTAGTTAGACTAATCCTCCTGACGCCTCTCTGGCCGAGCCAATCGTGGTTCCCAGACCTTCTCGAATTGTCTTGCCAGAACCCAATTCTACTGCCGAACGACGACAACCTACTCAGGGATCCAACGGGGAACCCACACCCAATGCTGTTGGACGGGCGCCCAGCCTTGGTAGCCTGGACTCTTTCAGGGGAGCATGGTGTACCAACCACTTATCGGCAACAAATAAGGACCTCCTATGGGACTCCTGGGCCCCGGGAACACAAAAGAGTTACCTATCTGCATGGCGATCTTGGGCCAGTTGGTGCATGTGGTGGGATCTGGATCCCTTTACAGCCCCTGTTTCAGATATCATGAATTTCCTCTTGTTTAACCTTGAAGAAGGCAAATCGTATCAACATTATCAGATCTGCTATCTTGGCAGCCCACGTACCGTCCCAGGGAAGGGCGGTCGGACAGGACCCTCTGATATGTCGACTACTACGGGGCATCAAACGAAGACGACTCCCAAAGCCTAAGTACCAACATCTATGGGATGTGGATGTCGTCCTCCGTTTCCTGAGGGAATGGCACCCTAACAAACTATTGTCTTTGAAACAACTGACGACCAAGTTCACCTTCCTATTGTGCATGGTTTCATTCCGGAGAGTATCGGATGTCTGGGCGTTCGACAAAGACGCCTTTTCCATAGACCCAGAGGGAGTAACATTCCATATCTCACGACGGACTAAATCCGACTCGTCATCGGTATTCTACCCATTCTTCAACTCAGACCCTCAACTTTGTGTGGTTAAGACTCTGTGGGCATATGTGGCAACAACAAAAATGTTGCGCCCACCAACAGCACGACAACTATTGGTGTCATATGTTAACCTGCACGGTCCGGTTTTGACTACCACACTGGCCAGATGGATCAAATGGCTCCTTTTAGTTCTTATGTTATATATAATAGTATTTAGTTAGAATACTTTTGGAGGTAACACAGAGGGCCAAATACCATTTTTTTGTCAGGAAAAATACCACTAATTTCATAGTTTCTTTCCCTGCATCCATCTACTATTGTGTTTTACAAAAAATACAAATTTTATTGCTAAAAATACAAATTTTATTATATTAAGTTTTTAATCATTATTTCAAGGCATATCATAATCAAATGTGAGCTGATTTTAACCTGGTTTAAAAAAATACTGTCTAAGGCAGAGATGAACATTAATAACCATACATTTATGAATACTGTATCTTAAAACCTTGCACCCCACTGTCTCATCCTGCCTTTCATGTATTAAAAGCATGGAGATAGTGCCTAATACCTGGAGAATGTAATGATCCCCATCTAGTGGTTACATGTGGAACTGCTGAGATGAATCCACAGTGATTTGTGAAGGTTAATTAATTAAATTAAGTTTGAAAGTGGTGGGAATTAAAGAGGTTATATTGCTTGACACCAGTAGAAACTAAGAACATTTTTAATATCCTTCCAATCCTTGCTTATTAACTTGACACATAGTGTAAGGCGTTTTCCGAGAACACATATTATGCAGTAAAAATAACAGAGCATAACTAAAACAAGGGCTTTCTTCTTATTTAGTCTGCTGACTTTGCATCTTACTTAATCTCCTACATGTGGGTTCTACAGTGTGCATTGGGCCCATATAAACATGCTAGATTCAGGGTAGAAGACAAATTATTTTCTGTAATAGATATGCCATGTTAGTCAAGTTGGAGAAGTGATCTAAATCACCTATTTTGGCCTGAATTTGTCAGTTTGGTTTTTAATGCATGACAATTTACTTTATAGTGAAATAAACAATTTGGTAGGTACACCAGTGGGGCAAAAACAAATTGAAATAACTAACAGCAACCAATAGCCAGAACGAACAACAAACAAAACCACATTTATAAAAAGAGAAATAAACATGGTGAGGTCTACGATAGACATGTGCATTCGTTTTCGTACGCATACGATTTCGTCTGAAAATTCTGGGGGTTTTTTGTATTTGTTTACTAAAACGTAAACAAAAGCCCTACATACGAAATATAAACAAAACGAAAGGGTAAATGCCGAATGCATTACCTTTTCGTTTTGTTCGTTTAATAGACTCCGTGCTGCAGGGGAATTATCCCCCATAGCATGGAGAAATAACACTGCGCATGTGGAAAAAAAAAAGGAGGGAGCCAGCAGCGCTACCAGCTCCCTCCTAAATCCTATTAAATCCTAAATCACGAGTAGGGGCATGTCGCCTAAACAGCGAGCTGGCACTGGCTGCTCACTGTCATTAAATACTAAATATAAATCAGTATGGGGGTCACTATAACCCCCATATTAATAAAAGTGATGTTAAATCCTAAATCGCAAGTAGGGGCATGTCGCCTAAACAGCGAGGAGCCACTGGCTGCTCGCTGTTATTTAATACTAAATATAAATAAGTATGGGGTCACTATGACCCCCATATTGATAAAAGGGAGATTAATTCCCTTTTTAAACAAATTTAAAACTACTAGTAACTGGTATAGAAAATAATTAGGAGCACTCACACTTTAGAGAGCCATATAAGTCGGCTCTCTACTGTAGTAGCATGTAGAATACTCTGTAGTTGGAATGGTCCCCCAGGAACTCAAGTCTGGATACA